TTGCCCTAGAGATTTTGGTTGCTGTCTTGTGTGATTTTCTCTCTCAGGCAAATTAAGGGATCGATTCTCTCGTTCTTAGGGTAGCTTTCGCCTTTCACAATTCCCCAAATTGTCTCCGGCAAAACCTTGTTCACCACAAATTCTCTCCGGCAAAACCTTGGTTCGCTGAATTTTACTTTGCCTCTGGCCGAGGAGTCTCGCTGCGTTTCATTCGTCGCCAGTGGAGATGATGAATATCAACCGGCGTTACTAACCCCCGCTCTCGCTCCTCTGGTTTCATGCGTCCTGCTGCTTTCTGCTAAGCACTACCATCATCGGACGCTCATGACGTACTTCTCTCTGTACCTATTCCAGCCACAATTCACCGCCCTCAGACCTCCACTCGAAGTTCACGGACTCGTCTTCGACGTCCGTACTGGTCCTACTGGGGCCCGCACCGGTGGATAATTCTTCAAATTCTAATCATCGCTAGCAGAGATCGAACAGGTCCACGACTCCCGACCGTTCACCCGTTGTCCCAAGTTCATGTGTCCTTTTCTCTTGGGCTTGAACATCTGAATCGAGGTACAACATCCGAATCGAGGTACGATTATTTTGCTCTTCTGATGGTGCTAATGTTCTGCTGAACGCCGCTTCCGAGATTTTGCTGGTGGTCATCTCACCGAGTGGGAAAGCATCTACTGTCGTGGATCACATTGGTTGTGCGGTTGTTTTTAATTAATCTTGCAGTGGATATGGGACTCTGAAAACTTAGGAAAGATTACATTTGTTGTCCATGAATTACCATGATCTGGACATGACCTTGAATAATAGAATGGGAGGCACTATTTACATGTTCAGAAGGTGGAGAGCAAGAGATCAAGAGTTAAGAATTTGTTTGAATTCAATCATTCTTCCTTTTGGTTGCCTTGATACTAGCTACTCGCGTCAAAGGGCCTTGCTATTCAATGTCCCCGCACAAACCACTCGAATTTAGCATGAAGCTAAGCAATGGAGGTTTCTTTTGCCGGTGCACAATGAGTCTCATTATCGATATAATAGTCGACAAGTGCTTTTATTGAGGGGGAGCCGAAGCCGTGCTCGGGCCTTGCCACCCTCATATCCGGCGTCTAAAGTCCTCGTTTTCTGAACAAAAAGGGGGAGATGCAGATGGAGTACTGGACTTTATCACTGTTTGCATTTCTTAACCTTATTTCTTTTACATTTTACTATGTTGTTATTTAGGGGGAGTTTTCTTGCCTTTTAAAGTTTGTCATTTGCTAATATTGTTTTGTTCAGAAAAGCAAAAATGGGGAGACTGTTGAATACGTATTTTACGTATTTTTATGTAATTATTTATTTTGCTTTTCTGACTTTTTTATGTGTATATATTTATTTAATTAGTTGTTTTATATTTAGTATAATATTATTGTGATAAAAAGTTTCCTTATCTTATTAGGTATCTTATTAGGAAAAGAAAATAAAAAAGGTGGGATGAATCTTGGTTCAATTGGGACTCTTGATTTGAAGAGATTGATAGCCTTGGACGAAAAGAAATAAATATGGGCGCAACAAATATATGGGGCTTAGGGCATTAACCTAGGAGAGGGATGTGAGTGGAGAAAGGAATTTCAAGCAGCAAATATATTTTGTTTCCTTTAAGTTGAGGGGAGTGGCAGATTCATGAGAATATAGCAACACAAGTATTGGATCTGGGAGTAGCAACTGATTCTCTTTGCGTGGAGTTGATTTTTATTGAAGCCGACGGATAAGCAAGAGGAGTTTTTTGACGATACGGATCTTCCGGGCTTGTGTTCTTTATTACTACTCATTCGTCATTCTTTTGGGATTATTTTGTTATTCGCTTTTTGATAGTTTGATTTGATAGAGAGCAACTCGCATTTTGTTTTTCATTATTCACTAGATGTTTTTGGATTGCATAAAAAACATTGTATTTGATTTGTTCTAGTGAAATTTTGGCATGTGGCCTTAGTCTACAAGTATTTTTACTTGTAGGCTAAATTTTTAATTGTTCGTATTTATTTATTTCCGCTGCGTATTTTAATTTCTGATCTTTGTGTGAAAATTTGGATATTTACGTACCTAAAATTCTAACATCCATTACCGATTTTTCGGTGAAGTAATTTATTTGAAGTGCGGACTCTGCCTAACCTGTGAAATTACTGAAAATTAAATTGCAGGAAAACCAGAATGAACTTCCATAAAATGATTGAGGGAAATAATTCTTAGTGCATATATATGGGCCCCGCCATTTGTGGGACATACGACCTTAAGATCAGAATGATTGTAGGAAATTGTATTATATTTTTTTTTTTACACTTAGATTTAGTATGTATTGAGTTTTTTTGGTATACAAACACACCACCCGATGCCTAATATGTTACAATCAGAAGATACATTTAAAAATATTTATACAGTAATCATTTTATAAATGCAATATTTTGACGTGGTTTTGCTATGAAACCAACAGTTGGCTCTATAGTGGAGCCAACCTTCTATATACAACAAATAAACATATCATATTCTCTAATTACATAAATAACACTAATATATTTTATTAATATGGTAAGTTTATTTGTTGTATATAGAAAGTTGGCGAAATTAATATCAGTCATATATTGCCAATAATTTTTTTTTAGGTACACCGATCATCCAGTTTTCGAATTCACAGGGGGATCGACTAATTCGGAACCGAGCCGGGTAAGAACAGAAGGGCGGCAAAACTCTCCTTCAAGAGTTTTTAACACTGCTGTATTCTCAGGGCTCGAACACGAAACCACTGGTAAAGCTGGAAGAGACCCAAACCATCTCATCCAAGCACTCTTGGGTATATATTGCCAATATTAATACCAAAAAGAACAGATATGTGCGGAATTGCAACCCTAAAAAGCTTAGGGGGTAGAATTAATAAACATCAAAAGGAAGTAACTGAATTGCAATTTCCCATAATATCCAGAAATTGTACCATTTGTAATAACTTATAAGCACAGTCTCACTCACCTGCCCACGGTGGGCAGTACCCACTAGTTTGTTTTATATGAAAAACGTATTATGAGAATACGTTTTTCAATTAAATTTAATTGAAAAACGTATTTCGAGAATACGTTTTTTCATATAAAATAAACTAGTGGGCACTGCCCACCGTGGGCAGGAGAATATATTTATTTATAAGCAATACAATTCTGATTTTTTTGGTACAGGGACCTTCCGGTTTCTGGATCCACAGGGAATCGACTAATCCGGAATCGAGCCGGGTAGGACCACAATACAATTCTGATTTTGACAAAACCATACAACACTTACTATAATAATACAGCTAAAAAAATGATAAAAACGATATTACAATATCGAAAGATTATACCAAACCCATAACAAACTCCTCTTGATTAATTAGTTACAAAGATGTAACTTGAAGCGGCATCCGACTGCTTCTCAGAATTCAAGAATTTCTTGGAACCTGAAAATGATGATAAGTGCAAACAATTGAGCCCTCATAAAAAGGTTTAATTTGTTTGTTGAGTTCAACAAAATCTTTTATTTAAAATTACATAGTATATATAAATATATTTGTTGCATGTTGTGGTACTAAATTAGTAGAATAAGGACACAAACTCTGAATTCAGTGAAACAATAAATAAATTACTAGTTAATTGCTGACGTATTTCACACATGCAAAATACAATTTCCAATGCCAAAATGAGCAGAAAAAAAAAATAGTAATATAAGGTAAAAAAAAAAAAAAAATTGCATATGATTTTGTAATTATTATAATTTTGTAAATTAATACACCACCTTTACCGTTTTTGTAAATCGATACGTGAATAACCATTCCGTTAACGAAAATTTGACATGACATTCAGCCACGTCAATGCTATGTCAGATTTCCGTCATTCATACACCGATTTGGAAAAAACAGATAAAAGGTGGTGTAATAATTTACAAATTTGTAAAAGTTGCGATCAAATTGGAAAAACATTAAGGGTTGTGTATTAATATCCAAATTTTGCCGTAATATAAAAATATATATAATGAAATAAAACTTACAATAAAATAACTTTCACCATGCTGCAAACCTTGCACCACGTAACCGTACTCATTCACTTCAACTGGCACTCCACTTGAATGATACATCACAAAATCGCCGCCAAACATGGCCTTCATGTTAACTGCCCCTCTTTCCACCTCTGTTGCTACTCCGTTGATATACACAGTGATCACATCTACCACAAATCAAAACCAAATTAACTAAGAAAAAAAAGTAAATAATAAAAGAAAAGGCAAAAAATCAATTATGGTCGTTTACTTGTCTAAAGACCTTTTTTCTGGTACGCTAACTTTCTTCTCATCAATAATAGAACGTTACGTTGCAATTTGTATCACTATTAGGACATTATCGCGAAAATGGTTCATTGGGATTAATATCCTAAAAGTGATACAAATTGCAACATAACATACTCTTTTTTTATGAGTAATGTCCCAAAATGATACTATCTCTTTTTTTTTTAAATGTCATTTTGGTTTTATCAATAATTAACTAAATAAATGACGTTTTGGATGTTTTATACATATTTTTCCATTATTAACCTCATCTAGCTAATAAATACATGGGAAAAAATCTTTTTCACCCCAATACAGACACATTAAATTTTTCACACCGCCCAATAAAAAGCTAGTTTTTCACCCCAGAAAGTGCGAAGGTTATGCTAAAATTGTCGCATATTCATCACATAACTGTCGCATTGTGAAGGTTATGCGAAAAACTATCGCATTACTGTCGCATATTCATCGCAAAATGCCTTCGCACTTTAATTTTTTTTCACCCCATAAAGTACGAAGGGATATGTGTTATGCCTTCGCACTTCTAACTTTCGCACAATGTCATCGCACAATTGTCGTATATTTATCGCACATTCCTTTCGCACTTTCTGGGGTGAAAAACTTAGCTTTTTATTGGACGGTGTGAAAAACTTAACAAGACTTCAAAACGGGGTGAAAATAACTATTTTCACTAAATACATTATGTCTTTTTCATATCCTCTTCATTTTTTTCTGAATAAACATTCATCTTTATCCTTATTAATGAAGGTTATTATTGGCAAAAAAAGATTTTTAATTAATGCGCAATTTCTCAAAATGACACTTATTAAAAATAGGAGGGAGTACAAATTATAACATAACATACTATTATTGATGAGAAGAAATTAGCGTACCAACAAGGAATTTAGACAAGTAAATCGTTCAAAATTATAATTTTCCTAAAAGAAATATTGCAAACAATAATTTAGGGTAATGACAATAGAATCAAGTAACTTTTGCCACTACATAAAATGTCCATTAATTAGTAACTTCGCAAACATTCTATCCCAACATGTGAGTTAGTGGGATTAATTTTACAATTTATTTTTAATTAATTAGTTTATAAACGATTTATTGTAATTTTTGGCACATTGTGTGCCATTGTTTTTAGTTACTTACTATTAAATATCTATAAAAGTTAGTGGGAAAATTTGCCGGCTAAATTTACTTTTAGTACACTATGGTCCTGTTTGGAAGATTGGATTGGACTTAATTGAAAGGTTTGACCCGTCAAATTCGCTAATCTGTTTGGTAAATAGCTTATTTGATAAACTTTTTGGACCCAAACTCTAATTTACAAAAAAAAACTCATTAGAGCAGCGTTTTGGAAATAGAGAATTCACAAAAATCATTTACTTGGAACTTTTTAATTTGTATTATTTTTTTACAATCTACATTGATTTATTGTGCTAATAAATAATAATATGTCATCCATATGATTAATTTATTCAGAAAAATGTAAAATTCATAACTTCTTCATCAAGTGTTACTAAATTTTTTAAAAAAGAATATATTTATAAATTACCAACTAAAGAATATTAAATGTTTTAATATATTATTATTATAAGAATACACCCTAAATAATAAAATATCCTTATTGGTCATTTTGCAATGTCAAACAGCTATAAGCTTTCAGCTATTTACCAAACACTTATTTAAAAACTGCTAATGCAATCCGTTAGTCAAATCAACAAATATAATCCGCTGATATAATCTGCTATCCGCTATCAGTTGATCGCCAAGCAAGACCTATATACGTTGTCATTTTTTTTTTAAAAAAAAGGATAGGTTGTCATAAAAAATGGTACATTAATTTGTAATTTTAATTTGAAGGCAAAAATTCAATTTTGGTTCGGTTACTTGTCTAAAGTTTTTTTTTTTTTACACTAATTTCTCCTCATCAATAATAGTACGTGATGTTACAATTTGTATCGCTAATGAGATTTTATATATCCCAAAAATGGTTCATTATCTTGAGGGATTAATGTACTAAAAATGATTCAAAATTGCAACATAACGTACTGTTTCTTATGAGTAATGTCCTAAAAATGATACAAATTGCAACATAATTTATATTTATCGATAAGCAATAAGTTAGCGCACAAAAAATGGATTTTGGACAAGTAAACAGATCAAAATTAAAATTTTTCCTTAATTTAACTCGTGCAATAGCCAACATAGTGTACTAAAATTTGCAACTAAAAATAATCACTTTTAGTGAACTATGTCGGTTAGTGTATGAATTTTGATTAAAGTGACAACTTAGTGGACTAGTTTTCGAAAAATAAATGGCCGCCATAGTGGTCTATTTTTTAAATTTTGATAAAATTTGCCCTATCACCCCCAATACAACCTAGTCTATTTTATGATTTTCCCATTACTAAAAGAAGAAAATTTGATTTGGAAGAACAATTAGAGGTAGGATTTAAAGGTTATTAGGTCCCAAATTTAGTTGGAATCCATTTTGAGAAAGTAAATTATCAAAATAGATTGAAATACATAAGTTAAAGGTTGTGAAAATAAAAAATAAAAATAAAAAAAGTTAAGAGAAATTCCTCCTATTAATAAACATGCATTATGATGATACAATGAAAATGTGAAGTGTTTTACCAGGTTGGTAGCTCAAATGAGGCGAGCTGCAGGCGGCATAACTCTCCGAATTCACATAATTATAATTGCCGTCCAACAAGTCTTGATGATGATGATCATAGTTTAGTAGGATGTTACTATGGATTGGAGAAGACGAAGTGGGGCCCACTGCAGCAGCAGCAGCAGCAGCAGATGCGTTGGGCAAAAAGTTATTATTATTGTTGTTGTTGTTATTATAGTTATTGTTTTGGGTTGTGGCGCCCTGATGATGATGATCCTGGGCCCGAAGGCGGTTGCGTCGAGACCTCGAGCGGCGGTTCTGAAACCAGTAGAAGACGTTGGCGTCGGCCACGGGCCCATACCTCCCGAGCAACGCACGGATCCTTGAGGTCTCGTCCTTGC